TTTTCTTTTCTTTTCAATATCATATAACGAACAAAATATGATAGGATATGTTATAAAAACCTTACAGCAAAACGAAAATATTATCCGATAACTTTTAAATTGAAACTGAGTTTTGTTTGTGCGTGTGAGGAAGTTAATTCATCATTTAGAAGTATGCCAGACATTTCAAACAAATTCATTTCGTGGTTAACTTCAGTAGAGCCGCAATAACGAGTTATAATTGCACTATGGGGCGAAATACAGTTTGCAATTGCACTTCGGCACACCCTTACCTGACCATAAAGTTGGGTTGTATACATTGTCTGAACTGGAATTTGAAACTTCATTTAGGTCCGTGGTGCAGTTATAACTCATTTTTGTGACTTTTTCATAGTTTTTTATTTGTTTTCTTGTTTGATAACATGTCGTTTTGTCGGTTCAACTCTTATTTTTCTGTCAACTTCATACAAGATAGACCATGTAGAGGAAAAAATATTGTTCACAACTTTCCTCATGAAGGAAATCCTAAAGTAGCTACGAAAATGTGAAAACAAATAACAAGGTCGAGTTTTGTCGGACCACAAATTTATTTTGGGTATGAGGGACAGTGAATGATGGGACAAACAGTTGACGTCGTTGATATATGAAATGCCTTATAATATGTTCTGCAAGTTAAACGTATTTTTATTAAATAACTTATAGAACATGTCTTTTGAAGGGTGATAATGTTTTGCTTATGAACAAGTCGCATCCGTATCAGTAAGAGTGATTTATTAAATACTTTGTACTCTTTGGTACAATTATTTAACTTGTATGTTTAAGTATAAATCGATTCATGAACAAAAGTGAATACGAAGCAAGACGAATCCTTAAATGAGATGGGTTTTGCTCGACCATCTTAGTGTGGTTTACCGCCGACTCGAAAACGACTAAGTATTTACCGCCGACTCAAAAACGACTAAGTATTATAAATTGTCAAACCTGATTGATATCGTGCGATCCCTGCTATATTAATAGTTGGGCGTTGATTTCCCGACCAAACTCAAAGTCATTGTTCAACACATGAGGTCGTCCTCTTTGCGAAAGACATTCGGTTGCCACATACCTAATTTGATATGCAAAACGCCAACAAGCCCTGACCGGCGTTGTTTTTGGTAATTTTCTCTCATAAAGGTGAAACCTCGGGACACTCGTGAACGAACGCTCGAGTGTCTTATGCAACCCCGAAACTCACGAAGGGTCACACATGTGTAGGTATCATGTAAAGCATTGCCAGGATCGTAGATTGTACGACGTTGTATGTTTTATATATTATAATACGACCTTGCTCATAATTTTATATATAAGTTTGCACATCATACAACTAATTATTTCTGAATGAAACTATATATGTTTTTGACAAGTTAAAAATAGACTAGATATGTGTTGGATAAATGTAAAAATCAAGATTATCGTCAAAAAGTCGTGTAGTGAAAAATAATGTCATAGTCGAGTGACGTAGAGTTGTGCTTGAAAGATCAACACCCCAAGTGACGGTTCATATACAAGTTCGATATAGTTATTGATTATGCACACCCCCTATACTACAGGGAATGACTAATCAATCTCTTATACTATAAGTAAAAACTATCAGATAAGGTTGATAGCTCGACGGGGATACACCCACCTAGAGATAGTGACAACTCTCATTGGTGACCTTGTCTTGTCATAGAGACTCGTGAGAGGTATATTTGGCACACTCCGTCAAAGCGACAAACTCCTTCATTATGTTACACTCAAAAGGAACTCTTGCGTGATGTGGTTGGAAGGGTTCCTGCGTTGGGACCAATGCACTCAACATTATAATATTCGAAGTTTAAAAAAAAAAAACAGTATCATTGCTTCATAAACACCACGATGGGAAACACTAGGTAAAACAATGTATCATCTGACCATAATAGTTGGGGGGGGTGAAATTGTTATGATAGACAATAAATCATGTAATATAAAAAAAAAAATCATGAATAGTGTTTGTTTGTTTTTCCTTAGGTTATTCTAATAATGTTACGATATATCAAGATTCTAATTATGATAAAAAAACATATTAGAGGAAAAAAATTATGTTGTTGGTCATAAATGGGATATGTATTTCATACCATGTTCAACATATAGTACTATTTACGACCCTTCAATCTTGCGGGGTTGATTACCTCACTTACACTAGTAACAACATACACTATTATTGATTTTTGTATAGTAAGTGCAACTTTAGTACAACCCTTTGCTAATCATCATCATGATGATTTGACAGGTTGTTTTTTGTAGGGTATTTGACTATTTCAATGTAAGAAGTTATACTAACCTACATGGTTTGGAGGTTTAAAAGTCATAGTCCGAGTTCAATGTGATAACTTTAATTTGGTTATTTATATACTTTGTATCAAAGATTATTTATTGTCTGAACCATATTTGTTACTTTTTGAACTTATTAGTAAGTCATATGAAACCCGCGTTGGTACTTCTCTTGTGAATGAGGGCATACTTGTTGCTCATTTAATAGTTATTTCGTCATAGACCTGTCTCTTATACACATCTAGATGTGTATAAGAGACAGAATGTTAAGTTGGTTAATGATAAGGCAGGTGT